GGTCTCTCCTAGCACTCATTCTTGATCTTGCTAGGTAAGAGGTACTAGTACCATTGTATTAAACAAAATATAAGATTTTTTTTTCAAGCATGTTGCTTGAAATTAAGAAAATAGTACCATTCTTGCATATATTTTTGTATTTTATTTTATAAGCTTAAATTATCTGCTATCATTCCAAATAAACTTCAAGTCATGATAATTAGCTTTTTATGAAGTGAGTTTTAAGATCCAGTCTTTTCATTTTATTATGGTTCATATGCACTATACAGTGTATTCAGTAGCCTAAAACAAAGAACATTTACATTAATATTTTGTCAAAATATTTTCTGCATGGAAATATTTATATGTATCCAATTGCAGAGACTGTACGTTTTCTTCTTGACTGTATCTGATCTGCAAATGCATTGTCCTTACAAGTTAAATTACACGTTAAATCTATACTTATACAATGAAGTACCATTTATTACTTATATTTCTCTCACTAGAATTACTGAAAATCATAAAAGGAAAGACAATAAATGAAAATCAGGCTTTTGTTAAGGAATTCATTACCCAGTGTTTCTTCTTTCAGAGGATTTTGAAAATATATGCATCAGTTAAATACAAACATTTAAGACCAGCTTAGTTATTGGTTGTTATTAAGACCAACTTAGAAAGATATCTAGATAAGGATAATGATGAAGACATCTGGAATGCTTGTGATTATAGTTCTTGTGTTTACTGACCAGGCTTTTAGTGTGTGCTAGTAATTTCTTTGTTGCATTTTGCAAGACAACATGTGTTTTTATAGTCAGTGTGTAAGTTCCTAGAGAACATAGTTTTTAATTGTACTGTTAGTGCTGAATTCCCATGGCCTAAATGGGTACCTAATACATATTAATTGCCCAATAAAAATTATCAAATGTATTCTAGTTTATTAAATCCTAAGGTCTCTTGGAGTATCTCATCTTCAAAATCATATAATTTTGAAGGCTAAAAAAACAGGTGAAAGTTAAATGTTAGTAGAGGTTTTGAATATCATCTTTTAAAAATATCAGTTCAACACACTAATTTCCCCTGTGAAAATAAAATATATTTATGAATGGTATTTAAATGTTTTATGTAATATTTAGAAGATAGAGTTTATTTAAAGGATATATGCTTGATTATCTCTGATTATTTACTACAGAAAGAGCCAAGTACTATGCTAATAACTTAACATAATATTATCTTGTGTGATGATCAGAACAATATTTTGAGGAATATTCTCCTTCTCCTCTCCTAAAGATGAGATAATTGAGGTCAGGTAGTGTTTTCCAGGTAACAAAGTTAGTAAGTGGCAGATTCAGGACTGTTCAAAGTCATTACTCTCTACTGCCAGTATAATATATTTTATGTATATTTTATATATATATATATATATTGTATATTTGAAATCAGAGAAAAGTGTTAAAGAGCAGTTATGGTGAAATGATAAGTCTGATGAAATCTCTAAGGACCAAATACATTTTTTAACCTAGATGTACTTATAAATTAGAGAAGAATATATATGTTCATTGGTATTGTGACTGGGAACATAAAGTTTATTGCATGATCAGATGTTTTTCTCATGTATTTGAGGAAGCATTGAAGGGTTCTGAGCAAGATAATGTCAGGATCTGATTAGTATTAGAGGGTATTAATTTGTCTCAAAAATAGATGATAGATTAGAGGCAGGGATAATGAAGGAGGATTTACAATAATCTGGCAAGAGATGATGACTGTTTGGACCAGACAAATCTTGGACCTAGTCCTTATACCCCTTCACCAGTTCTCTCTGGAAGTGCTGACTATGAATGTTGAATTTGGAATTAATTTTGAAAATAGAATGAACAGTATTTTCTGGATGATTGGATTATATGGAGAAGCTGGAGAGAAGGACAGAAAGAGTAGACAAAGTTGATGCCAAGGTTTTGGCCAGAGGAGAGAAGCAATTCTGAGAAAGAAGGACTAACAGAAGTTTGTATTTTGCCATTTTAAGTTTTAGACTTCTAAATGAATAGTCTATTAATGAAGACTAGAAATGGACATATATCAGGCGAGCTATAAATGTGAGAATCGTTAATATAGACTTGATGATTAAATCATGAGATTGAATGACAACACCTGGAAGAGTCGATACAGCAGAGAGGTTTAAATCTATGAAGTCCTGAGAAACTCCACAGTCAGAGTTAGAAGGTGAGAGTTAGGAGGAAAACAAATATGGGACCTGAGGAAAAGGAGGAGCCAATGAGGTAGGTGAATCAAGAGTGACATCCTGAAATTCAGATGCTAAAGATATCAGAAAAAGGAGGGAGAGGTCAGATGAAGCAGAGTTTTCAAATAGATTATATGGTGTAAGATTGAGAAATGACCACAGGATATGCCATTGGGGAAGTCAAGCCTACTTATGAACTTGACAAAAGCCTGATCAGAAAAATGTTACTTAAACAAAAACATTTTGAAACAACTGACTTAGAAAATATCTGAATTCTCTCGATTTATAATTCTCATATAGGCAAAGTACTTTCCAGGTTCTATATATATATTTGGGTGTATTATCCTTATCCTTTGCTGTTATAGTCAGATATTTTAGTTATATAACTGTTGATTTCAGTTCTTTTAACTGTCAACATTTAATTATCCAGTGCCATGTAAAGCTTTAAACGATTTTTAATTAACGTCCTTCCTATTTTTGGTAGGGTATATATGGTGAAAAGGGCATGCATGACCTGTGTAGACAGACCCAGTTTTCAGGGCAGACTTTAATAGTTACTGATAATAGTTGTGCATTCTTGAGCAAGGAGTTAAATTCCTCCCACGTCTGTTTCCTTATAGGGAAGATGATAGGTAATAACTTTTTTTATATGTTTTTAAGAAGATATAATGAGAAAACATATATGAACTCTATAAATCAGATATTCAGCAAATAATAAAATAACATGCCAATTAAGAGCTCAGGATCTTAATCAAGTAAATCTTAGTTCAAGTCCTGGAGTGCGAATGTATTTTGAAAACTTGAGCAACTTTCATCACATCTCTTAAACCTAAGTTGCTTTATCTATAAAATGGCTGTAATACAAAGATCTACTTTATAGGGTTACTAGCATTAAATGAGATGTTGTAGGTAAAGTTTTAAGTATCTTAGACAAAATGAGTACTCCATAAATGGTAGCTATTAATTTTTATGCTTATGGTTGTATTTATTATCCTTGTTTTAATTTTCAAAAAACTGAAACCTTAGTCATAGTTTTTAGCTCTTGAGTCTTAGCTTATAATCATGCTTCATAACAAGTGTAATTTATAGTGTTTACATTTGTTTGCTGCATGCTTGGCTTTTAAAATTATTATTTCACTATTGTCATCCATTACTAATGTTAAAAGTTATGTATGATTAGCTACTAGCTTGATTATCATTTTTTAAATTATCCTGGTCTCTATATAGGACCAATCTAAATGAAAAGTCAGAAAAAAAACCCAACTATATGGTATGATTCTTTTGTAAAAATATTTTTATTAGTGCCTGTTAATTTGACAAAATATTAAGTTTCAATGTGGTGTTTTCATACATGCATACACTTTTATATACCCATTCCTTACATTCCCATCTCACATTCCTTTTCTCCTGCCTGCTACCAGTCATCCTTCTACTTTTATGTCATCTTTTTTTAAAATTCCACATATTAGTGAAAATATGTGATACTTATAATCTTTTTGAATCTGGCTTATTTCACCAAACATGGTGAAGTTTAATTGTATATGATAGGATTCTTTAGAACGTATCTCTTGAATGTATCAGAAATGGCTCTTTCAGCCAGTTTACCTGAAGCTGTGCTTAAATAATACATCTCAACATCCCTACAAATTAGGAGCCAGGCTTTGAATTATGGAGAAATTAAAGATGGAAACAAAGATGATTTAGATTAGGAGGTAAAGACTTTATGTGAAAATACCAAGACAGGATTGATGATACAAAATAGAATTTTTTCTTCAAGAGACCTTAAGAATCATCTAACACATTTCCTGATTTTATTGCTGAGAGAATACTGAATTTATGAGAGATTTCATGACCTTCTTAAAGTTAAAAGTGAGTAAGGAATAATTTTCTGACTTCTAGTTAAAAAATATTTTTATTAAAACACAATTTCAGTTTTGCTTATTATCAAAATCAAAAACAAGAAAAATATTGAATGAAGAGAAATGTTGAAAGGCTCACTGGGTCCTCTCAGTAATATAGTTATGCATTTTAAGTGACATAAAAATTAAGGATTTTGCTTTATAGGTTGTTGTGTTTCTTCTCCAGTATTCTTTGTAAGTGAAAAACCTAAGAACTTTTATTTAAAACAGCTGCATACCAACTAATTTCATATTGAAATTAATGGCAGAAATATTGTTGAAGTCAGTTTAGAAGCGAAATATTCGAGAGGGAGACTTATGTCAGGTTTTCCATAGTCAGTTTCAAATATAGTCAGTTGGTTTTCTTCCTAGCTGTCGAATTAAATTGTGTATTTTTAAATAGGGTAATAATTTTAACAATTTCATTTTGAAAAGAAATGTTCTAATGAAAATGTGTACTTATAAAGGTAAAACTTTGATATTATGGAAAAGAGTTATTCGACATGTGACCATGTTTTACTTATTTTAAAAGATGAAGAATCAGAAAGATTATTTGGTCTGATTTGTATCTTGTACCATCAGTTACATTTTTTGCAGAAATCTCTGCAAAAATCATTACATTGTGTGCCTCTGTTTGTAATAAATTTTTAAACAAGTTATATTTACTCATGTAAATTTACTTTGATATTAAGTTGCTCTCTACATTTTATAATCATCAATCACTAGTTTCATCTATTTCTAGTTAATGGTTTATTTAAAAGAATTCAAAATGAGAACTTAAGTACTGCAATAGATATTTCTACTGCTCATCTTCATTACATAAAGGTACAAAATAATTATGTTCTTTTCTCAGAAACTAAATTTTCTTTCTTTGTCTTGTTTTATAGAGCTACATTCATGGGAGCAGCCAGGCTCAATTTGTGGCAGAGTCACACATTATTCTGGTACTGAATATCCTTTAAAATAACTGATTAATTGAAAAGGAGAAACCAAAGCTACACGCTATCAAATTGATTTTCTCCCCTGGTGATAAATATCAAGATATTTAAAAGAGATTAAATTTTAAACTTTATTACTAATTTTCTAATTCTCATGCTAATTATTTCCTGTTATAGTATAATTTCATTGTTATCCTGAATCATTAATACACTAATTTTCTGTTTTATGCTGACTATTGAATTTAAAAGTATTGCTTTTACTCTTCACTAATTATCTCTGCCTAGAGTTTTTTGCATGTGCATTTAAGATGATTTCCTCTACAGGATCAAATAGGAGGGGAAAATTGCCTTGTGAAATAAATAGCAGCATTAAAAAAAGGAATTATCTATCTTTTGTGTGGAGTCAGAGAAACAGTACACGTAAAACATATAGTACTCACGAAAGGTTCATTGGTTTAATCCTCTCTTTGTTCCCCACTTTCTCACTCAGCACTTGGCTGCTCAGCCATAGTGTGCATAAATATGTATTTATTGGTTTATTCTTTAGTGTTTGACAAAGGTAATAGACAACAAAAAATTATATCTCCATGGTATTTATCTGAATCATATTTTGGAGCAATTTACTTTTTCCACAGTAAGATTAGTTGAACCCTTCCATTCCTGTTAATTTTTTTTTTTTTTTTTGGTACTGAGGATTGAACTGAGGACCTTGTGCTTACAAGGCGTTGGCACACTGAGCTAAATCCCTGGCCCCCACATTTTTTATTTAGCTGTGTTTATGAAGCAAAAAACATTAATGTTAAAACAAATGGTAAAAAACTCCAAGTATTTGTCACGGATAAGTTGTAAGTTTTTAATTCTTATTTATTTATATATGGTAGTTTTTTATTTACTAATTTGGGTCAGACATGGTGTAAGATTTTTACAGTATACTTTACTCAAAGTAGCAAATCGGTAGCACATTAGGAAGACAAATAAAGAGAAACTGCAGAGACCATTATTCCATTGTAGGGCAGAAATGCTGCAATGCATGGGCAAGCTGAGATTTAGGATTCAAAGACATTTCACCAGCAGTATGAAATTGTCAATATAGATTTTAGCAGTAATACATAAAATATTTGAAATGTTTATATGCTAACAGTATTTATTTATTTCTTAACATATCCTGTGATTTATTTTAGAGATGTCTGTTACAAATAAATTATTTTATAATCACAGACTTTATTATCAGTAAAAATTTTTAAAAAGCCATTTTACAATATTTTCTTATTTTCACTAGGCAGACTTTACTAATATTTTTGAACTTACACACTTTTTAAACTTTGCATGTGTTTTTTCCCTTTATTCCAAAAAAAAAAAGGTAAACACTGGGTGATTACTTTTGTGTTATATGTAGAGAATGTTTCTGCCTTCTTTTGCTCCTTCTAATTTAGTAAATCAAATCATTAGATGCAGTTGCTCTGTACAAACTTTTGTTGAAAAAAACCAGAGAAAACAGATGAAGTTGTTTGGTGTCCTAGCTTATAGATTCATACTTATAATGAGTAAGGTTTTATCCATATCAGAAGTGTTTTATTTTTAAAAACTTAGTAAGGAAAAAGGGAAATAGTCTTAAGTACTCAATGAGAAAAAAATAATGTGAAAAAGAAACATGATATTTTAATATGGAATATATTTGAACCATCTATATAACTTACACAATTCTTTGTTTTTCCTAGTACAAATTCATTTTTATTTCATGTTTTTCATTAGCTACATATGATTTCAGTACCTGATATAAATATGAATAAGTTATTTGATGTTTGCAAGAGGTAAGGTTGATAGAAAAATATTTATAATCCAGTGTGACAAAAAATAAAAGTGCTGCATGCAAAGGAAGCAGCAAGAGATGAATAAATTGGTGCCTAAGGAAGTTAAACTGACCTTTCAGCTGGGATTTGAAATGTAAAAAAGGAGGTTCACAGGCAGAATAAGGGAGAATAATCTGATAAGGAGGTATAACAGGCTCATAATATACACTCTCAAGAGTATATATTAGACATTAGCTGCCTTATTCTTTATGAACTATTCTAAGGTTTAGCATGGGATGTCTTAATAAATTTGACTGTACAAAGAAAATAATGGCATACATATCTTGTTCTTATTTAAGCAATGAGAGTCAGTTAAGATTTGCTGAAGTAGTAATTTTGAGGTTCAAGTGGAGAGAGGAGAACAGAGGAAGTGAGAGGCACTGACAGTTTTGTTGCCATAGAGGAGAAACTTGAAACTAAGGTAATGGATGACTGACTCACTTGCTGCGGAAGAGGAAGAATTATCAAATCTTGATAATAACTGTCCTTGGTGAGGTTGAAGGATCCGAGTCAGATAACTTTGGAATTGAGGTAATGTGTTGATACATAGCTTAATATTAACAAAATGAAAATGTACCCTAGGAAAAGAAGGTTTGGAGAAAAAATATTTAGCCTAATAAAATTCCTAAGATTGATATGCCTTATGCATACTTCATTGATAAAGAATTCAATTTGTTTAAGGTATGTACTTGGGACCATAAAGCCAATAAGTTGAAGAGTCAAGAACTTAAAATTTTCAACCCATTTTTATTCTACTCAATAATATTTTCCCAGTAAGTCAAAACTACTATGGTGAATAGGCCAGTAAGTGTTTCACAAAGTTATACAGTAAGTAAATTTGTTAGCATTTCTGAAAGGACTTTTTCAATAAGGATACAGTGAGTAAAAGGTGTGTTTGTTAAGGCTAATTGCCTAATATAAACCCCTCAAAATCTGAAGATTCCACATCTAACTATGAAATAACAGGTTCTCTTTTGACATTAGACTGATGGGTATCGCTATCTACCTGTGTCTTACTGAAATGTCCTGATATTAAAAGAGAATAAGAGATTGGTCTCCAACCATCCAACCTCCATGCTCACTTCTAGTCCAGTTTATGAACTAGTTTGCACATCTCTGTCAATATCATAACAATACAGACTTCAGGTATTACACACAGTCCAGTTTCTTTACTGATCCTATTAATTAGTTTTCTTACTGCTTAAAAAATCAAAATAGTGACATGATCCCACATAAAGTAAGTTACTATTTGTATAAATTACATGCAATACCCACAGACAATGAACATCCTGCAGAACTAGTTAAAATATGTTTATATTAATTCTCAGTTACACATGCCGATAAATTTACTGTTGCTTCTTGGAAGGGAATCAGGATCTTACCAATTTAAAGGTAAATGAAAACAGATGTTAAAATTGTTAGCATTTCGGGCTGGGGATTTAGCTCAGTGACGCTGAGCCTGCCTTGCAAGTGCAAGGTCCTGAGTTCAATCCCCGTACCAAAAAGTAATAATAACAATTAACATTTTATAGAAGACTCGATCCCCGGTACCAAAAAACAAACAAACAAACATTTTATAGAAGACTGAATGGGATCTAAAACATAAAATTATCTTCAATTTGCATCCACCATTAATTTTCTTTTGTAGCATGTTTTTCCTTGAAATAAACATTTGTTCTCTATTACAGATCAGAAACAGAGAGTAAAATTCTTTCTTAATAAGTGGAAAGCAATGTTATATTTATAAAAATTTGTATTTTAAAATATCTTAAACTTGTTGCTAGTTATAACCTTTGCTTCTATATCAGCGCTTTTACTTCCAGCTGATACTTATTTGATACCATCTTCTTCAGATCCTAGAATTTAAGGGATGTGGAGAATTAAGGGACAATGGCAAGTGAAAGCTGACACATTTGATGTTAGAGCTGCTGACCCTAGAGCTCACATGTGCTGTATCCACTGGCACACCAGACCCCCTTTTGGTAAATTCAGGGGGAGCATTGCTGTCTAACAAGAGGCCATTCATCATCATTTGGTCTGCTTTGAATTTTAAATAGAGTTGTAAATGACATTAATGGTCCCACATCCCACCACCTTGGTTGCTTATTGGTAGAAATAATTGCGGAATAGTTAAGATAGTAAGATAATACTTTTCACAAATATTCCTCAATATGTGAAATTTCTCGGCTTTTTTAATGAAGATGAATCATTACTTGGTAATTACATGTCTTTTACTTGCCATGTTTGTAGGTGAATTTAGTAAGAAAAGCACATTTCAAGGTATTTCATGAAGACATACTTACAGTCTTAGATTTTAAGAAGATTCTAAAACCCATTGCATATCCTACCTTAATCTTATCATGTGATCACTACAAATTTTTCAAGAAATTGTTTTATACATAACATCATAAAAGATTTCATATATAGGGTTATCCAGTAAATTATGGTTTTATAATCTAGTTAAGATCTGTATGCCTTACACCTGAGTATTACTAAGTTTTGGACAGTTGTAAGCTTTTGTTAGAACATGATTGGTACTAAATAATTATTTGCAGAAGTTTACAGATTATAACCTATAAAGAGATTTTTAAATAATTGTAAACAGCTATTAATCTGTCTCTTCATTTAGACAAATATGAGAGACCCTGCCAGGCTTGGCAACTTTTATACTTCCACACACACATCCATGTACACACACAAGTGTGTGTTTGTATGTCCATATATATCTTACATCTTGTAAACACCAAATACCTTACTCATATTTACATGTGTGTTGAAAAATATGTATATATCTATTTGCCTAGTAAATCTCTGTAGCTTAAAATTCCTATTTTGAAGTAGTATTCACGAGAGTTTGTTAAATTCTTGCATTTCTTTATTTTCAAGTAAGAATAGAGCTAAATTCCTCTCAGGTATAGTATAGTTTTTTTTTATTGTTTATTTGCTAGCAGCCTTCTATCTCTATAGCAGAGGTTGGCACACTAGGACTGGTAGAGGCCAAATCTAGCCTTACTACTGTTCTCAGAAATAAAGTTTTATTCTTCTGTGCATTACCTATGACCACTTCTGCACTAAGAGAGCAGAATTGAGTAGAAGCACTAGACACCATGTGACTTTCATAGCTGAAAATACTTTTTAACCCCTGACAGAAAGTTGACAATTC